TTTGACTTTGTTTCATGGAAGTTTCTAGGTTTTGAGAATAGAAAATCTACTGGAGATTAATGGGAGGTCTATGGTGGATGGTGAAAGGGGGATGGGAGATGGGGGAGGGAGATGGGGGTTTCTTTTCCTTTCCTTTCCTTGCCTTCCTTGCCATAGTGATTATGGTTTGTGGCTTGATGAGAAACAGAGAAATGGGAGGGAATGTGAGGGAAGGTGAAGGGATTAGATGACAATGAGTTGGGGATTAGATGGAGCGATGGATGCATGGAGGGATGGATATATGGATGGACGCATGGATTGATGGATGCATGGATGGATAGCCTAGTGTGGTGAATGGATGGATTAAATGGGATGGTTTAAATGGTTTAAATGGTTTAAATTCATAGTAAATCTGATTTATTGCGAAAGAAAGTATGAAAGTATGAAAGAAAGAAAGTGTGAAGGAAATGAAAAAGTGTGAAGGAAAGTATAAAGGAAAGAAAGTGTGAAAGAAATTTATATTTTATGTAGAAAGTTATAATGTGCACTTGGGGAACGGTTCGTAGCTCTTGAAACTCTTGATATTGAGGAGAGAGCTACTAGGAATAAACAACCATGCTTAGTCAGCTAGATTCACTGCTGTACTGACGACTTAGCCCGGTCATATAGCGTCACGTGATATAATCAACGTGATATCCTCTATATGCACGTGCCTCACGCACTTATATATATCTTATCTCATTCTCAGACCCACGGCGATTACATAATCATAAAATCTATAAACTAATCAATCAGGTCTATGTGGGGTAGCGCGATTATTCACCATAGGAGTTTAACTGTGTACCCCACATCGGTAAAACTGTAAGCCATTTTAATATACGAATCAACGGATAAAAGAGAAAACACTCTTTTGTTCTATACGAAAACTTTTTCACCAAGTGTGAAAACTCTGATTCTTCAACAGAGTTCTATTTCACCACAATAACAGATCCCACAGGCATTGCGTAAACACGCTGGGGACCTGTTGCAATCTTTAACAGCGACAATTAGACTGATTTCGAACAGACCTGCAAAATGGCATTAGTTGTTGCTCAAGTATGATCCATTATCAATGGGGATGAAGAAAAGCCAGAAGGACCAGAGAATGCAACCAATCCATAATACATGGATTTCATGAAACAATTAGCTAATAGCATTTCCATCTTCAACAGCTCTGTAGGAGCAATCCACCGTCCAGCAATCCTTGAGTTAATTACTCAATTTGATGTACAAGGGGTATGGGAGGTTCTCAAATCACACGACAGATCCAAACGTCCTCAATATATCGCTGAAACAAGGGCAAAATTCAGTCGAGAACTCTTCAATCCGAAAACACAGTCAATACGAGGGTTCGTCAACACTTTGAAAAGTCACCAACGACTCACATTGGACACCGAGCCCGTAATCACAGATATGGAAGTTTTTCATTATCTTCTACAATCACTTCCCGAAAACGAAAAGTGGCAATCTAGCAGATCCTTTATTCTAAATACAGAACTGTCACTTACCGATACCATCTCAAACCTCAGCGTAATCGAAAAGCTAATCGAATCCTCTGCAGTTTTCGTCGATACAATTGGAACATGTGGTGGTGGAAGAGGTAGAGGACAGGGGCGATACAACAAGGGCCTATCTAGAGGTCAAGGTCGTGGAAACAGTCGTCCACAGGATAATACTCGAATAATTAAGAGTAGAGATCAAGAAACAGATCGAGCACCAGAGGGTACTTGTTATTTCTGTTATAAGAAAGGGCATATAGCTATTAAATGCTTCAGGATGCAAAAGAAGCAAGGAATCGAGACAGAACGAAGGGAAGACAGGGGGCAAGGCACAGATTGCACAAGTAGTAGAAGAATACGAAGACGATGCTTTCCTTTATAATACTACTGCTATACAATCACGTATGACTATGCTCTATTCTACCTGGATATTAGATTCAGGTGTTTCTAATCACTTCACTGGAATCGTTGACAACATTGAATATTTTCAACAATGGTCTACTCCAAGAAAGGTGAAAGTGGCCAATAACACATATACCGAATATACCGGATACGGGAAGGCAAAGATTGGTGATATAGAACTTTCCCTAATATAGTTTGTGCCAGAATTCCATAGCATTCAGCTAATTTCAGTATCCCAATTCGCTAAGGAGAACTATAAATTGATCTTCGAAGGCTCTACAGCATCATACTGGCGCAATGGTCATCTAAAGTTCTCTACAAAATCGAGAAAAGGGGTTTATCTGGTACAACAACCAATAATACCAATTACTGCAAACCTTTCATTTGAAAAGGACAATTCAGAAGAGGAAGGTATTGATTTGAACGAGATATCCACAGAACTCGTATATAGGCAGCTTAGTCACCTAAATTATGATCAAATGGAAAAGCTCAAGAGGAGCTTGATAGGACTGAGATTCAGCAAAAGACAAATCACTTAGGGCTGTAGGGCATGCAGATCCTGTTTTTCAGGACGAATAAACGAAATCTTCAACAAAAGTCATATATCCAGAATAACAGAAAAGATGCGCCGACTTTATATGGATTTATCTGGTATATTCCCTGTCTCTCCGACTAGCAATAAATACTTTCTTATTATAACGGATAACGTAACAAGGTGCTTTTGGATTCGATATCTCAAGGACAAAAAGGCCTCGACGGTCATTCCAGTTATTATAGATCTTATAAAAAATTTGGAAAAGGAAATCGGAGGAAAGGTAGTTATTGCACATGCTGACAATGGAAGGGGAGAATTTGACACATTCTTTCAGGAAGAATTGGCTAAAAATGGGCTTCTCTTCGAACTTTCTCTATCAGGGAAACACTCCATAAACGATGTCGCTGAAAAGAAGGTTGATATCATTGGGCAAAGATTAAGGAAACTATTTGTTTAATCTGATATTTCAGGAAACCAATAGGAAATTACAATATTGTATATTATATAATTAATAAATAGATTATTAATAAAAACTTTACCATTCAGTATTATCGATCCCTTATCTACAGCAATTACTTTAATGGAGGCTTTGAAAAACAGACTACCAGACTTCTCCAAACTCCAAATGTTTGGTTACAAACATTTATACAAAGGCCCAATTTTCCAGGCCAAATGCCAAAGAAATTCGAATCTCGGATTGTATCAAAGGAAGAGTATATCTTTATAAACATAGAAAAATAAAGATTTACTTTCTTCTAGGACTAATATCCAAAATTATTAAATATATTGCTAATACTAACTTTGATGAATATAGTTTTCTATGCAAAACACTGGATTCATTAAGTTTAAGGATTTTCCTTGTATTTGAAAAGAATCGCAAGGACTTTTTGAGTAAAACCGTAATAATCAGGAAATGTGGCCTTGAGCCAAGATTAAAGGCTGAAAGTGATTCAATGCCGAAAAGACCCTGTAATAAACTACGAAAAATGCTAAGTATAAAGGCCTTAATTCAACTTGGAGTATGATCAGAAGTTTCTGATTGGGATTTTATAGGATCTAAAGTTTTTACCTCCAATAAAAGTAATAAAGCTGTATTAGGGAAGGTTTCACCTTCGTGTAATACAGAGAATAACTCTGTTTCGTCGGTTTCAAAAGGCTCAGTCTCAATGAGTGGAAATCATCTATACTCAGGCTCGAGTACAGTTCGATTTTATTCAGATTCAAATTCTCCTATCCTTCTTCTCCTATTCCTCTTCTCTCTTCCCTTCAAATCCCTTCAAATCCCATCCATCCATCCATCCATCCATCATTAACTATCATTCAACAAATTCAACACCACAAACTTTGAAAATACACATCAACAAAACAAGGTATACATTTTTCAACCCCCCACTCCTCACATCACTCATCACATCACATCACATCACTCATCTCCCCTCCAACCTAACCTAACCTAACCCAGCCTAATTCAACCCACCTACTACTTAGCCCTCCCCCTCGTCGTCCTCCCACTACCCACTACATCCCTAATCTTCGCCTCCTTCCCTCCCTTCGCTCCCTTCGCTCCCTTTGCCTTCCCCCCCTTCCCACTAGCCATCGGACTCTCTTCCTCCATAACCTGCGTCTCCGTCTCCGTCTCCATCTCCGTCTCTAACACCTGAGCCTCAACCTCCTGAACAACCTTTCCCCTCGTATTTCTAGTAGGTTTCAACGCTTGTCTCGAACTTTTCTCTTTAGTTGTTCCAACTAGAATGGAAGTAGATTTATTACCACCAGATCTCGTACTGGCGCGAGTTTTCTTGCCGTTGCTTTGAGGTTCTTCTTCTTCTACTTCTTCAACTTCTTCAACTTCCTCCTCGACTGCCAAATCGAGTCCCACTCCAGATTCAACATCATCAGCCATCTCTACATCATCAACTTCCACATCCGCAACAGGAGAATCTTCTTTCTCGGGTTCTTCCTCCTCTTCCTCTGCCTCTGGCTCAGGTTCAGGTTCCGGACTAGGAACTTTCTTTCCCGCGGCTTTTCTTCCTCTCCTTGCCTTAGCGAGGGGTGGAGGAGAAGGCGTAGGAAGCGGTTGCGATGATGTCAATGTAGCCAACTCCACCGCATCTTCCCCATCTGCTGGATTTTCTTCCTCTACTTCTTCCTCTGGTACAGCTTTCTTTCCACTGGCTTTTTTACTCTGAGGTGTAGCTTTAGCAGATTTAGAAGCGCGTTTTGGAGGTGATGATACGAGTGCGTCTTCCATATTTACATCCACTTGCTCTTGCTCAGGCTCTTGCTCAGACTCTTGCTCTTGTTCGGACTCAGCCTCAACCTCATCTTCGCTGACAACAGTTCGAGCTGATTTCTTAGGTGTTCTCGCCTTTGTCTTTTGCTTTCCCGTCGGTTTTGGCTTCGGTTCTTCCTCTTCTGCATCATCCTCATCAACCTCAGAAGCATCACCCTCTTCCTCATTCTCTCCTTCAGACTCCACCTTATTACCATCTTCATCAAAATACTCCCACTTACTGACTCCCTCCAACATTTCATTCTCATCCTCACTATCATCTCTATCCATATAACTATTTCTCGCACTTGCACCTCTTTCACTTTTTCTTCTCTCTGCACTGCCAATTGCTGGTGTCCTCGGTTCTTTGAATTTCTTTGGCTTGGAACTTTTGGCTACTCTTTCTTTTTTGGGAGCTGTGGATTTAGGTCTTCCTTCGGACTTCTGTTTCTTGGTTGCGGGCAAAGAAGAATCATCCATAGACTTGCGTTTGTGTGACTTTGATTTATATTAGCACTTGATTTTGACAGACGATAGATTAGAGATGAGTGCGAGCGAGTGTGTCATACCTTCTTCTTGTCCACGTTCCTAACCAAACGATCTAATTCTTCATCCATTTCCTCTGGTATAAAGTTCCTTTCCGCAATCTCTTGTGCCACGCTATGAGATTGCAGTGCCGCGAACAATTTCGCAGGAACCATAACTTTAGCTGGGTAAGATTGCATATTCCAACCCTTCTTGACTTCCCACTTTGATATTACAGCTTGTGTGAGATCGCTTAGAACGTATAAGTTTTCGGATTCGGCGGGCTTTATAGCATCGCGGGCTTGTTTGACACTTTGAGCATATTTGTAGATAAGACCTAGATTATCTTCCGAGGCGACAGAAGAAACATAGTATAGTATGTAGCGAGCATGGTCGATAAGTTCTGCAGGATTGGGGTTATAATCGGGGTGATGTGCTAAAAGTGACAAAAGTCGTGGAAGAGTTTTCTCTAGCACCATAGTTTTCGATTCAACAAACACCTTCGCACGAGAACGAATCCAAGTGACGATTGAGCTCTTGAAGTTTGGTTCGGGCTCAAAAGCAGTTAAGAAGATCATTGTGTAGAAGCGATCAGGGAGCTTGTCCTTGACCAAGTACTTCTGAAGCTTTTCCACGAAACCTCTTCGAACGTTCGGATTTTCGTCTTGAGCTACAAATGATAGACGGTCAAACTGAGCGGGAGCCAAAATTTCATCAAATATTGGAGTGGTACATAGCTTGAGCATTAATTGCGCTGCCAGTAACCTCAGACGAGACTTATGGTGTTTAGGGGTATCCTGCTTCTTCGAAAGCTCCCCATCATTCACAATCAATGTGTTTAGGACTTTGAAGACCGGTTGAGCGACAGTTTTTACTTCTGTCTCTTCAACTGTACGCAGTCTGTTCACTAAAATTTTCAGAGCCCAACATTTGGCTTGACATTCTTCGTCCAATTCGTCATCATTTTGCCAGTTGGGATCAGTCTCTTTCGCCCGGGTTCGAACCTGTAGGAGAAGTTCTTGAGTTGTGATTTCAAGAATTTCATCACTAAATTCATCGGCAATTTTGGGTGATAATAACTGCAATTGACTTATTGCTGCCAGCTTCGTTAAGAAATGGCCATCGCCATATTTCCACTTTTTCGATGACTTCTCCAAAAGGTCCTTCGCGTGCATCTCCTTTCGATCAGTGGCCGCCATCAAAAGAGTTATCGCATACTTGGCAGCCCGAGGGGGTGTTCCGTAGGATGCGTAACTGACTAATGTTTGAATAAAATTGCGGTCTTTGGGAAGTGATTTTGATTCAGTCTTGCTTTTTGCAAATACTGCGCATGCTTTCAAGGTTGCCACAGTGCCTGGGTCATTTTCTTTCGATTCCGTTGGTGCTTCATCCTCTAAAGTTTTGCAGAGTTCCTTGATATTCGCCGTCAGAACCTGTGGATTCTTCTCGGAAATCTCATTCATAACCTCCTGAGCTGTCGCACCCAGTCCTTTATCGTCAGTTCTCGAGAACTGAAGGATGGCAGGCAAGTGACTTCGGTTGTATATCAAGAATGCGGAACGGTAAATAATGGGTGCTAGAGTGTCGAGAAGACCAGCCGGAGCGTTAGGTGCTGCCTCAATACGTTTGGAGAATTCCTTGATCGCGTTATGAACAGTCTTGAAATCGCTCTTGGGGTCCATTGTGTATCGCAAAAGCTGATAAGTTCTTCGATCGTGAAGCTTCGCGTATTTATGTAAATCTTGGCTGGTTCGCAAAGAGTCTGGGAGGAATTGAAGGAGGTAGTCAATCATTGCGTTTAGCTTTTGTCTACCATCTGCTGCATCACCGTCGGTGACTCCACCATTGAACTCCTCACACCTTTTAACATAAGCAGTGAGTACATCAGAGTATGACTTTTGTCGCGCCTGTAAAGCAAAGAAAGCCTTCTTGGGTTTTGCATCGAGGGATCGAACTAATAATAAGACGCGCTCTGCTCGAATTCTATCTGCATCGAATGGTTCGTCGGGGGATAATTGGGATTGTGAGGGGCCACTCTTCGAGCCTTTGGCCTTGGATGGAGGATAGGTCAAAGGTAGGAGCTGCTCAAACATCACATGATCCAAGACAACGTTGAGCTCTAAATCATTGGCGAAGAACCCTTCAAGAATTCTTGAAGGAATGGCTCCCAGAGATGCGATCACACTCTTATTTCCTGCCGCAATCTCGCCAGTTGCTACGCCCCATATCGTACCAAGTGTTTTCATAGCCTCTGCTCTGACGGCAGGCTTACGGTCTCTTGCCCGATCAGCCAAATTGCTTAAAACAGAACCAGACTTGATCATTGGACCATTGGGCACAAGCTTTTCCATGATATCCACCAAGTTGAAGCTTGCTACCGCTTTCACAGCAGCAATTCTGACCTTTTCATCTGGGTCATTCAATTTCTCTGCCAATGACTTGACCAAGGCGACTTCGTCTTCTCGATTCAGGCCAATTCCTCCAGCCTCTGTGACCAAGATTCGTCCAATGGCTATGGTCCAAGCTGATCGGATGACTGGCGATTTATCATTTTTCCGGCCGATAAAGCTATGATAAACAGATGGATGTGTTTGAGAAAAGGACTGTGGTGAACTGGGTTTGACGAGAATACTTGTAATGGGCGTTACTGGATAGTCATCAAGTCGTACTGGAGGATATGCAGCTGGGTCCATATTAGGAAGAGGCGGTGGTCCCGCAGCGCCAATTCCAGATATGATGTCCCCCAAAGTTTCTGTAGCTAACAATCGTAGTTGTACATTTTCCGCGGACAATTCTGCCTCCACCTGAGGAATAACATTTTGTAAAACAGAAGGTGATGCACGCCACAGCTCCCGCAGAAGTCTGTGGGCCTTGTTGAGCTCCTTCAAATCCGCATCTGACGGCCCTGTGGGGGCTTCATCCTCATCAGAGTCTGCATCGTCCTTTCGATGTCCATTTGCTTTGCCTCCAGTTGTAGAAACTTCCATCATAACGTCGTTAAAATATTGGCTGACATAACGAGACATTTTATCAGAGCAATCATTACAGATAGTCTTTGCCATATTGTACGCTTCAGGTAGATCCTTCAAAAGTAGCGTAGATTGCTTATCATCGGCCTTTGCTCCAAGCTTATTTTTACTTCCACTAGGTGTAGCAGCTCGTAGAAATTGGGCAACAATAATATCGATAACCTGTGGCCCCACGACCGGCGCTTCATCCACCAAAGTAACCAAACATTGTGACATATTGTATTCGACATCTTTGCTTATTTGCTCGCCTGTAGAGGATTTCGAGGAACCGGAACAAACATCGAAGAAAGTGCTGAAGAGATGGAGCATGAGATCCTCGGCATTGGGAAGATCTGTCATAAGAACAATACTTTTGACTTCTGTGAGAGATGACAAAACATATTTGTGTTCCGTATTATATGTGTGACTTGGATTGGAGAGGGCTGGTAGAATGGTACCAACGAAGAAGGTAAAGATATTCTGATAAAGTTAGATTCTAATTTGATGTTTTGAGAAGGCTAAGAATCGTATACCTTGACCTGCGAACTAGTATATGGTGCGTCCGGAGCACAAAGCTTGAGTATATCCACCAGACAGCATCCTGCCCATGCCTTGACGCCGTTGTCCTTATGGTTCAATAAATTCTGCGCCGCGAGCTCTTTGGCGACAACAGTCAATGATGATTTGTCGATTTCCTCCTGATCCATATCCCGCAGCTCACTCGCAAGCTTCTTGAGTCTCTTCAATAGAGTTTCGGTCGCAATGGGCTTTCCTGCGCGCCATGATAATGCTTCGTTGAAGACTAAACTCATAGATGGTTCTTCTGGTTCAGGAGATTCGATCGCACCGCGGCGCGGAACCATTTTGAATTGAAAACTCCAGTCGCGGAGTTGTACTGATAATAAATATTCTCGTTCGAGTTGATTTGAAGATGCGCAGAGGAATGGTGGGTTATTTTGAGGTTGAGTTGATGCGTTTAATGAGTTGATGAATTGAGCTTACATGGGTTGATGGAGAAATCGCGTGTGGTACAAAGTGCTCTCAGACGCGTTTAAGCTTTTTGGGGCAATCGCGCTACAGGGCAGCCAGAGGGCATTCAACTCAAGACAATCATCACTGCCGTACCAATTGGCTCGAAGCTGCTCTACAATAATTTGGTTCAAAAATTAAGATACATGTAGCTATAATATGCTAATATCATAATCATGATCCATTTATCATACGACACGCCGACAACAGTGCAGACACCTGGGCTTTCAGCCATTTAACCGGTGCTTTCATCTGATACGAATACTCTATGCTATAATCGGTCAGGTATAAAAATGATTTGATTAGACGAGTACTTCTTCTTTCATTCACAGCGACGACCAAGAATGAGGAATTACTCTTTTTGTATCTTTGGGTTGTGACAAATGGCTCTAGAATCTAGAATCTAGTGCTAGTACGTATACTTGGCCTCTTATCAATGGATATATGCCCCATCTTTCATTTTCTCAGAATGGTATTATCGGGAAGTATGTACTCGAGTATGAATGAGTGGGTAAATATGAGTACCTAGGTAGATAGGAGACTATGTATGGCTACTCGGTTCCAAATAGTTCATCAAACATCCTCAAATAATCATTCCGGATTGCTATCATGTAGCCAAAGGACGAGTCAAGTACTGTTAGCTTCATCAATTCAAGGGTATGTTAGTTATATACCCTCGAATGCCTATTTCATACAGCTATTCTTCCGTCTAGTAACAAAGAGAATGAGTCAAATAAGTCCAGGAAGCCGACCTCAGGAGCATGAAGTTGGACTTGAGTATGTGAAACATCCTTTGCAAGCTAGCAAACACGTGAGGAAAACTGCCTCCACACCCTTCGCTCATATGTATTTGACTTATGGCTCATAGTGATCCATTTCACTTATCATTTACCACAATTGAAGTGATTGTGGTATTCACCTTAGTGGGTCAAAGCATGACTTCAACTCTATCATATCCAGAATTCTTGGGAGGCCTTGGAAGTCTTCATCACATATGCAGCTTGAACATCATCAACAACCAGATAGTTTTCTAGGTATGTCTCTTCTGAAGGAATGACTCCCAAGTACACCTTGAGATAGATATTGGTATCCCTGGTCTGATTTTTAAAACTCATGCAGCTCAACTTTTGGCGGGACACTATTCCAGTGTAAGGCAGACGACCATTATGTGTGGGAAGTGCTTGAGTAATGTTCTCCTAATTACCTAGTAATACCAACTGTAATCACACAAAAGCACCACTTAGAACCATGGGGAAAATAGCTTTGATAATATAAAAAAAGAAAGAGGTTTCATTTTTATGTTGTTTGCTATGTCCAAACTAAGATGTGTGATCAATCAAATCATACGTTTATTCTTTACTAGTAGTGAAAGATGTTTGCTATTATTGGCTCGGAGATATCTTCTTGATTCCAAGTTGTGCCTTAGGAGTTTGAAAAATTTCTGTCATAGTATTTTGTTCTGTGGAGATTGCAATATCATGATTTCTAATAAGTGAGGTTATTGTATAGAATGGAATTTCAACCAATCAAGATATTCCTTATATCCAAAACTAACCTCAAATTACAAACCCCTCAATTTTATTAGGTTATTTAAATGAAAAAAGATTATCGAATTCACAATCACTCAGTGACTTTACTATTGTTATTATTATGAATATGAATTCACCTCTCGGACTTTGCCTTCGGGCCGACGTCATCACCACACCTACTATTCCCTGTGCCAATAAAATCACCTTCACCTTCACCTTTTCCCACCAAAACCAAAATCCAACACAAGATAAACAAAAAGCATCAAATTGTTTGACCAATTTTGACACACCACACTCGTTTTTGAATCCGATCTTATTCTCAAAATTCTATTGACATCCTTTTCACATCTTCCTTTCCTTCTTCCCCAATTTTCTTCTTCCCAAAACTCTCCACCATCATCAAAACAACACAATCCATCGGAAACCTTCTTCAAAGATACTTAACTTTGTACTTTTCAAGTTGCTTTGATTTATTAAAATCATCAAAAATGAATCTCTTCTTCAGTATTCTGCTTTTTACTGTGGCACTGGTTGCTGCAGCGACTTCTGGCCGAGATGCGTCGACTTCATGTATGTATCACCACCCGATCTATAATTATGAAGATTAATTGCTAACTTTGATCATCACAATATAGTCATTAATGCCATGCATAATGAGGTTAGAGCTTTGTCGGATGGAGGCCTTTCGTTATCAACCTCTCTTGTTACTGCCAATAATGTAGTTGTCGCAACTGCATCAGCTGTCCTCAACTCTTCTTTGGTATCTACTGCCGTTGATCAAGCCTCAGCAGCTGCATTAACAAGTGATGGTTTCCCTCCCATCGGTCCTGGCCATTCAAATATTCACAGTAGTAGTCATGATTCTACAACTGTTGTTATTTCTACTGTTACTTTGGTTCCGATCACTTCAACCGAGGTTGCGCCCTTTTCTTCAAGTTCTTTGTCTGCAGTTGATAGTTCAAAGTAAGTCAACTTCCCACATAACTCTCATGGACTATTCTGATCAGTATTTAGAGCAGCTCTTATTTCTTCTACTGATTTTAGTGCATCTACATCTCATGAGTATGTTCCTCTAAATTAGTTTAAATTATAAAGATTAACAATAATATTCTTTAGGGCTCCATCCACTTCTGATCTTACCCAATCATCGGCCGTTCAATCATCAACATCTCAATCATTGATAATTCAACCGTCACCACTTCAATCATCTGCAGCTCCATCATACACATCTGAACCATTGGGTCAATCATCGACACTTCAACCATCTACTGTTCAGTCATCCACTGCTGAATCATCTATTGTTCAGTCTTCAGCAGCTGAAACATCGGCAGCATTATCGGCAGCTCAATCATCGGAAGCTCCATCATACACAGCTCAACCATCGGTAATTGAATCATCGGAGAGTGGTCAATCATCGGCGGCTCAATCATACACAGCGGAATCTTCGGCAACTGAATCATCGGCAGAAAGCGGTACCAGTCAAGTATCAGCTGCCCCAACCTTCCCAACATTTAGCAGCAGCAATGCTCCATTCGCTAACAGTACCGCTTCCCTTGTTCAATCGTCAGGTTATTATGGGACTGCTCCAAGCATCGCAACCGCTCCAGTAACATCGGCGTCTAGTCCATCCAGCTCTTCTGTCTCTGTTATTGTTGGAACACCACAAAGCATTATCTCCAATAGTTCCCCAAGTACTCCAGCATCAGATTCTATCGGTGCAACCGAAACATCAACTACAAGCACCACTACCATAACCTCGACCACAACTCGTACCGGCACTATTACCACCACTATCACCAGGTCATCTGCGGATATCACTTCTCAGAGCATTATAGGTAAACTTCCGGTGACTGATGCTCCATCTGCTCCATCTGCTCTCACCACAGAGACTTTCACTTCTGGTGGAAGTACCTGGACAACAACCGAGACCGGACCAGGAAGCACTGTCACTGCATCTCTCATGTTGAACCCAACATATTCAGCTTCTGATAATGCTGGTATCGCTACAAATAATGCTGCAACATCCTCTGGAGCCTGCACTTGCCCATCACAAGTAACTGTCACCGTTACTGCAACTCCATTTGTTGTCACTGGTGGAACACTTACAGGAACAGCGACATCTACCGATTCCCCCCAAGAAACTTCTGACATTATGAGTTCCAATTATCCCCAAGAATCCTCTGTCAGCTCTAGTTCTCCTCAAAAATCATCTGTTAGTTCCTCATCCGAGCGATCAACCACATATGCTGCTCCACCACAAGAAGCCTGGACCACCCGCAGTGTTCCTGGATTCATCGGTGTCACAATCCCAAGTGGTGGCATGTCATACCCTTCCGTTGGATCCACCTCCTTCCCCGGCTCTCTAAAATCATCCACCACTTCCTGCACCGAAACAACTTCCACCTATGGTTCCCACGTCCATCCTCATACCAAAGCCACACCCATTCTCAGCAGTTTCTCCAATTACTCCTCAACCAGCACTGGAAGCCTCTTAGGTACAAGTGTCGGAACCGGTGTCGGAACCGCAGTCACTCCAATCACCACCCTACCATCTGGCATTCTCCCACCAGTCTCTACATCCAAGCCACCCATCTACAGCGGTAATGCCGATGTAAATGCAGTGGGTACCGAATCTGTCGCCCTAATCGTCGGCTTGGTCGCTCTAGTCCTCCTGTTCTAAGGATGTTCTACTGTACAGCCACAACCACAATCTAGATGGATCGATGGATTACATAAAATGTGATGACGATGATGGTAGATAGGATGGATAGGTAGATCTTAGAGTGGTGGAAATGAAATGGTGGAAATTGTATTTACGTGCTCTTTCTGGCTATTTCTTTTCTGTAGCCTGCCTTTAGGATTTTTTTCTCTCTTTCGGATCGGTTGGCATCTAGGTTCTTTAGAGGCTCGGGTTCCTTACTTACTTTTCTCTTCTTTATGATAGATACAATGCAATGCAATGCGATTTGTCATCTGTGTTTTCTCATCTCTTCCTTTTATTCGGCTTTTCTATCTATCTATTTATTCGGCACTCTTTCCATTCCTGCATATCATATCATATCTATCCTCTTATCTATCAACTCATACCTTATCTTGCTTCGGTAAGCTATGATATGATATGATATAGCATAAGCAGAAGAAAGTGCTCGGCAATGAATTGATCTGGTTAGGATAAACATGGCGTTTCATTTCATGCATTTCATGAGTAAATAGATGATGGCTTTAGCTTAACTTTAGGCTTAGGCAAGATATGATATAATATGATTCTTGATGAGAAATGATTGATTGATTAATGGATTGAATGGATAGCATGGATGGATGAATAGGATGGTCTTTATTAAAAATGAATTAAAAATGAAATATTATAATTATTAAGAATAGTACCCCTAGTGTATGATCAATCACCTGGTATTATGTCACTGTATTGGGAAGCTAGGGCTAGGGAAACGTAGAGTTGATTCGACTAAAGAGGTAGAAGTTGATGGGTTGTAGAGTAGCTTATATAAAGCTACTCGACAGTTGCCAATGCGGCCTAGTGCCGAGCATGTGACCTGACCCTGCTCAACAATAATTGCCGTTTTATTTTATGGATATTTTGCTTGATATACTTTGAGTAGTGTGATATGATGTGATATAATTAGATATAATGGGATTTAATGAGATCGTTATAATATTGTCACGGGTTCACTACCCGTGACTACCTGTACCCACCTGCACCTACCTCGAACCTCCAGTTCGGATCGACCATTCGAGTGAATGAATGTGTTAGAAAATCAATTTTATTGTTCCATCTCTATTGACAATTATACAATGTTTTTAACCAGCCTCACTTGCACCAAACTTCTATCCCCATTTCATCCAACATTCTCGATTCCATCATAGACCGGACACAAATCAAGTTCAAAAACACATTCCATTCTTGAACCCACCAGATCAATTCTGTATCTACATCTACAAGAGCAGGGCGACCTGGGATCCGTGCAGTGCAAATTACAATATCAACCTCGCGGCATCGTTCCATAAATAATTTCTTTTCGCCCTCGATGAATTCTTTCGACATCTCTTTGCCGTAACCACCGGCGCCAGATCCATCATCTTCTTTAAAATCTAGTGATTGGACTTGCTCACGTACGTTACTCCCATGCGTCGAGTCTAATTAGGATAGTCGTTAGCATTCCATTCATAAAATAAAAAATCCAATACTTACTGTTGCAATGGCAATGAAGCCAGCCACACCTGCCTGATGACAAGTAATTTACGTGGAGGAACCTAGATATATTAGCGACGGGAACTAAAAACGGATATGAGACAATAATGTAGGTACTTTCTAGAAGTCACTTGGTTAGTGAAGAGACCTAACGGCATAGGGGCATTTACTTACCCAGTGGCAGTGACTTGGCCCGCCATGTAGCGTTTGGAAGCCTAAGACTGACTGAAACCGGCAATGTTAGCCATAGAGCTAATTACGAAATTGTGTGAGCTTGTCTTCATAAATTCGACATCGAGGCCATCCATACCTCGGTGCGTCAAATACTTGAGCTCGAGAAATTCTAGGAATCATATCCATCGCAAAGGGAGTAACCCCTCTATGAGACAATTCTTCCAGCACATTTTTGTTTACCGCCGAGTACAAGAACGAAATAATTGTTCCATTGTTCTTCAAAAAATCGACTTCGTCATTAGGCCTCTCCACACTCGGTGCGCGGACTTTGAGGAGAATATCACTTTCAGACCAAACACATACTGTTCAGTCTCACTATCTTGGCCCCCGCAGTCTCGTCGTATGGCTCATCCGTAAATCGGGCCTCTGCTCCAGCACTTCGCTCGACAAGCACTCGGGAGAACTCTTTTGTATCAAAAGCTGTGCATTCTGTGGAATAACCGCAACTCGTTTTTCGTTCGGATACATCTCACGAGATATGCCGAGTATCAGGTTCGAGTACAGAGTGGTAATAAGATCCGGGACAACGGCATTAGAGGAGCCTGTAGAAAGAGACGCGGTATTCGGTGCGGCAGGTCTAGGAGGGGTAGCAGTTCTCAATGTATATCTTTTGTACTTGTATGACTTGTTGGATAAAGTGATCGTAATTGAGAAGCTATCAGAAAGACATATTAGGCTCAATTGGATAGTTGATCAACGAGATAGTGAGCTAGAATGAATCAAAAGAATAGAACACACCAAGATCGAAGGCCAGGTCATCTTTTAGATCTGTACCTGTAATTGTTGATGTTCTTTTATGAAAAGGGAAGAGGGTTGGTATATTGTATCTAGGGAAATGGAGTATTGTATTCGTAGGGGCAGTCAGTACTCGTATAAAGGTTGGTTCAAGAGGATGCGATATTGTAGGTTTGCATAAACCAATGTTGGATCATCTGCCACAGTCTTTTTACCGTATTAATATTCTACCATTCTTACAACGCTGCAACATATCAAGCAGAAACCATTGCTGGGACATAAAACTGCGGTCCTAATCTAATTTCTAGGTGAATGGAAAGAGCGCTTGGTGAATAGATAGTATTGATATTGATACTATACTGATTGATCTTATAATTATCATATATGAGACAGAAGAAGGGTGCAGCGACGTCGTGCTAGAATATTAATGGATATGTACCTGCTCGTTGATTGTCCGAGAAAAAGGAGAGGCTGCCTTTGGTTGATGATACAAGAGAAGAAACGATAGCCCAACCAGACTCACACATATTCACGTGATGGACTAGAACCCATTTTCTCAAATCTCGGTGGGAATATGAATAATCTATGGTCGCATAATTCTTGTATTAATTTCGACGCATCGCATAATTTCTACGGTCGCATAATTCGGGTATTAATTTCTACGGTCTCGCATAATTCGGGTATTAATTTCTACGGTCGCATAATTTCTACGGTCACATGATTCTTGTATTGGTTTCTACGGTCCCACAATAAAATATTATGTACACAACGAACGTTGAGAGAACTATCATTTCGAATGCATATGCACTAATCTAACTCACAATATTTCGTCACATGATCTAAAGTCATCATAGTTGTTCCGCTCCGGTGGGCTGCTTTTTCAACACATCCAATTTTTCTGTATCATGCCATCCCTTCAATTTAATCTCCTCATCTTCTTTCAAGTCTATATATTTGCCTCGTGAAAATTCGTGATCGCTTGAGATTTCCTGAATCTGGTTCATCATTCTCATTCTAACCTCTGAACCCCGAAGTCTAGCATTCTCCAAAATGCTTTATTTCTGTATCACTCATTTACGTAATCACCTAAGGCATTTTTAGGGAACAGCGTTTATATTTTCCAATGGTACTCTTGCAAGCTAGGCTCAAAGTAGTAGCTCCCGGTAAGCTTTAACAGGAGGCATTATCCTCTAGAATGACAAGTACGGGTGTACCTTGATCCTAGTGAAGAGTGCCAAGAGACGCCAACAGAGAAGCTGAACCCAAATGTGTGAATGTAGGAGTATTGAAAAAAAGAGAGGAGGATTTAGGAAACCCTTTAAGGTGAGACGCCTATGAGTGGGGTGGAACACCGGTCAAAAAACGCTGGCTAAGAGCTAGGCGTTGAGAAGCGTTTGTAGTGAAGTAAAGGCGGAGCCACTGAGAGGTCCAACGGCCTAGGGCCTTTATGTCCTCCGAGCCGATTCCCAAATCAGAAGCAGTTTGAGCAGCCCCACGGCGGAGGCTGTGGCCCGTGAATTTCTCTCCATCCGGGATGAAGGCCTCGATCAGTCTGGAGCGCATAGAATCTACGACATGCAAATAGGAGAATGTTTTTCTTGTAAATCGAAAAAAGAGGTTCATCAGGATCCTGTGGGTCCTTCTGAAAAAGCAGACGCAAAGCAGAGACCGGGCATATGCCATCATTAGTAGCGGCTAGACAGATATCCACTCCCTTGAATTCCGTGTCGGTCTTGCTCCTCTTGACGTGCAGAATAGCATATTGCTCATTCGATGCAAATGAAATGTGTCGACGGGTGAGCTTTGTGTTGATGAAATTACGAGTGTGAATTACGAGTGTTTGCTCGCTGCGAAGACTCGTAAGTGAACTCCTTTGTACGAAGAAATCCTGCAAACCTAACAATAAGTGCTACCGAAAGATTCAAGTTATCTGTTCCTTGCTCACAGTGAGGGACACCGATAGCTTTGTGTAGGAGGTTGGCTGTGAGAGGAAGAGCCTGTGTCTTCTCCATGTGAGGCTGCAAAGCCTTTATGCCCGCGATTAGCCGGCTCACCCAATTGTTGTTCTGGAAAACGTGGAGCGGGAGCAATCGATCAACATGCATAGAACGGAGAGCAGAAAGCATCGAGGCCATAGAGCTAGCGTCGACTTTGGGCATGGTGGTAGAACCATCGCCTCTAGCCGCGAGCCAGGCACCCGTGACCTGCTGAGTAGCCGGCCGAGGTTCATGTCCTATTCTGCGGCAGACTGAGTCGGAGCGTTTGCGTTTCTTATCCTTCTCCCTGTCATTCCCATTGTTGGATTTATCTCTGGAACGAACTTTGTCTAGTGTTCAATAAACAATCAACCCATGAATTTGGAAGAGGTCCAGGCAGTCGTACTGTAAGCTTAGGATTCGTGGTGCAAACCTCGTTGTGAAAGTTGATAGCAAGAGGGAGTACTGCTTTAGTCCATTTGTAAGTTTGTGATAATTTTACAACTTTGCGAAAGAATTCTATCAAACGGAGGAACAAATCGGGATTCTCGTTGTAAAATAAACTATATATTATCATAATGTAATTGTGAAATCCTTTGTATTATACTATTGAGTCATCGCTGAAACCTTTGAGTATACAAGTGGTATCCCTATTCAACTTTCCTTCGTTGGATATCTTAAATTGTAGATCATTCTTTTAAACTTTTGAAGATATCGTAGTTTGTGTAAATTTATAGGTTTGAAAGAGCCTTTGCCGATGCGGTTGATCTCGATTCTCGGAGTCAAGCTTTGCGTGATGAGTGAGGCTTCAAAATGATTTGGTATGTGTATGTGAAGTTGGTTCCTTTCGGTTCTCGGGAGTTGCTGTAGGATAGAAGGACAATAAATGCTCAAACTGAGGTTAGGAATGGATAGAAGTAGCTCAAGTTGATATGGAAGTCCCGGAGACTTCTCGATAACCAGAAGGGATCCAGGGGAAATCTCATCTTCATTATGAGTATTAACAGGAGCAGAGCAGAAGATATAGAAGCCTTTCCTTTCCTAATAATAGCAATTCAGGTATCACTTTTTGTTTTCGCTAATTCTCTATAATACTCCGATTCCTGTTCCTCAATAACCTTTTTGTATTCTAATTTCTTAACAATTGTTTCCTTTTCGAATTGGATTTTTGTACAAATATAATACATTTTCGTATATAGTTTTTCAGATTCAACATAGACTCTCTTTATTGTTTACTTTGTTTTGATGAAAAAAAGTAAAATAGCTTATAAAATATTAGTTGAAAAAAGGAGCTCTTACCACTTCCAGCCATAATAACAGAATGCTAAGTATTGTAAATTTATCCAAATGAAATTAATTAAATGAAAACCCAAATCAATAGAAATACAAACAAGGAGGAAACATTTTGTTGGTATCACCGTGGTGGTGATGAAGTCAATAGTACTGTCGTATTTCACGTATTTGTATTGCCTTAAGGAACTCAACTATAGAGATGCTAATGCTAAATCATATACGCTCCGTGGTGGCCAAAGCGTCGCTTATTGCCCTAGCCCGTAGCCCTATGGTCTACTACAGCTAAATGAGTGATATCCAGACAGTTACTGTTTACAAATACTCAAGTTACTTATGTTGAACGATAGCTTTTTATACACAGATCGGGGTCTCGGGACTATTGATTGAGGCTAGAAACATTTTGAGTAGACCCCAGAGACTTCAAATTTCAAAAAAATTGATTTGCTAATGGAGGAATTGATGTTTAGTATTAAATAGTAGTTGTGACAGTGAAGACAGGAGTCATTTTTAGGTTCGTATACTGATAAGGTTGATTAGATAGATGGGATGACGGAGGCTTTGAATTTAGAGCAGCTGTTCTGCAGCTACCATTTCTCCTTTCCTATCTTAGTATATATAATGATTCAGAAGATGATCAAATTTATTACTCTAGCTAGATTGAAATGAGTGGCTTATTATAGGCCAATCGTAACAAAGAAGGCTGACTACAAAGAGCTAGATTCTGAAGAATCCAGAGTTATCTAATGAAAGGCTTCAAGAGCCTTAATGGCTACGAAAAGAATGGTAGGGCCTAGATATACAGCAGAGCCTTAGCGAGCTAGGCTAGAATCATATAGAGCTAGCTAGAGTCATATAGAGCTAGCTATAATCATGTGCTGTATCCATATGCTGCTAGTACTGTAACAACCAGCCTTTGTTTGGCTCGTAAGTCAACTACCCCACATATGGACCACCCCCCCTTTTGGACCACCC